TCTAGAGTGAAGGCAAATGACGAAAAATATTAATTGTCTTTCTCCACTCAGTTGTTTTTCCACAAATAGATTTTAGCTAGAAACGCAGATTTCGAGCTCATCATATCCAATGTGTGTTTTCTTTTTCTTGTAGCGTGGTATTTAGACCATCAAGTTTTGCAGTAATGTCGATTAAAAATATCACGTCAGCAAGCCACTCCATTATAAAGACATTTTGTTATTTGGAAGCAAGAAACATTGAAAAATGATCAACGCCGTCGCCGAAAATCGAAACACGGACCTCTGGTATAAGCACCAAGCGTGCTGACCCCTACACTAAGAAGGCATGCTAAGAAGGCAGGAGAAATACCTTATACCATATCTTCCAATTTTTGATCATAGTTATCTTTGTATTTGAAAAAAGTTTTAATCACCGACAGCATTTCAACAAACTTTCTTAAAACTTTTCTTTGACTCAGCCACCTTGCTTTTGAGATTGAGCTTTTTATCGGGCAGATTTTCTTGATAAATGACGCAGTGGTATAAATTAAATTTGGAAAATGTGTGATCCTGCTCACAAAGTTAAGAAATCCAGTATTATTCCTGACCATTGCCCGCACACCATGGTTCCTATTAATCGACGACAACGCTCGTTCACATACAGCCCAGCTGGTTAACGATTACCTGAAAAGTGAGGATATTCGTAGCATGAATTGGTCAGCCATATCTCCTGACTTTAACCCTATAGATCAGGTTTGAGATGCTCTTGGGAGAGCAGTTTCATCTCGCCATTCTCCTCCGAGAACCATCCCGAAGTTGAAAGGTCTTGCTGCAAGAGTGGAATCAAATGCAACAGGGACTCTCCAGTATGCCGTGAAGCTACGCGGCCGGGATGTGAGAGAGCACCATACCCCATATAGACTCATTTATTGTCCCATATTAAAACTTGGGCTTTGGATATCCCTGAACTATGAGCTTTACTGATAATCATGTGTACATAAAATGACTATTGAATAGTACATCTCTTTCTTTATTTATTTAATGTATATTCTTATCAATTTTTTTAAATATGTTAATTAGTTTTTCAGGAATTGGACATAATGTGCAAATTCCCTTAATTTTGCACACGAGTGTAATACTCTGAGCTGTGCTTATGACAGATCGTTATGTTGCTAATGCTCCTTGCTTTTCTAATGCAATAACTTGTTTGTCCTGTAGGAAATGAGTAAACACAAAATAAATCTCATTATAACCTATGGTAATAGTTTGTAGGGAACTATTACTAACTTACTAACGAGGATAAGGGAAAAGAACTTAAACAATACAAACTGTCTGCCTAAAATTTTGATCAATACAAACATAAAGTTATTCGCAGTAATTTCTGCTTTCGCAGTGTCTTGAGATTTCCTCAGCTTTAAAAAGAACTACTCTATTTTTGAATAGGTTGGACTCCACGTTGGTCAAGTACAGTCCACTGATCTCTTGAAGTGACAAATTCCTGTATTAATACAACCGAACATGACATGTCAAGAACTATGTGAGGCTAGTACGGTGGATCTTGATTTCCATTTAACTTTGGCAACAAACGAAATGTCCTTAGTCTTACCTTTGCCTCTGATCATTTACTTTGCCAATATTGTAGCAAGCTTATGAAAGCTGTTCTTTTAATCTGAGACCAAAGAAGTTTAATAGGTTATTAGAGCAATAGCTGCCTGCTTTGCCAAGAGGGCATCGGCTTCATTACCTTGCACCCCTATAGCGAAAACTCATTTTGGATCTTTGTGAGATAGATATAGCCAAAAGCTGTTATTGGATTCGGTATACCAAGGGTGAACCAACGCAAAATGCCGTTTATTATGTTCCGTGATAGCTACCAGACTTGACACAGAGTCGCTGAGGATGAAGAATTTCTGCTGCTGATATGTGTTAGTGCGCCTAATTGCAGAGATTATACTTAGTAGTTCTGCTTTGCATATCGATTTGTTGAATCCTAGTTTCTTCTTCCCTCAAATATTATAGTAACTTTTTCCAGTGTACAGGAGGCACTTCCCGTGCCTTCTCCTTTTGGGAGCAATCTGTAAAAAGGTGACCATTGCTATTTTGAATTGGTTCGTCGTTTATGTTGATGGTGTTGGAGAGATTAAAAGCATCTAAAAGAAAGTTTTTGCAGAACTGTTGCTCCAAGTGGTGATAACTATTTGCCCAGAGTGCTGACTTTAGATCCAGTCTGGTCTGGTCACCTTTGCCTACCGGTAAACTATCAAACCTAGGAGAGTAATTCCTGCTAGTTGTTGTAGTGCTAATTGCTGAGGTTGTGCAGTAAAGCTTACTCATTTTCTTCCTCTTTACCGTGTACCTTCGGGGTGTAATTGGAAGGACGTTCGTCTAGTAGTCGGATGCTCCAGAGTTCGATTCCCAGCGAAGCACTGCCTATGTTTTCTGCTCTACAGTGTCGCCTGAACTAAAGTGTTGTGGAGGATGATACCTCACTCTCAGGATAGGGAAACTGAGTCAATTTCTCCTTAGTATTCTTAGTTTCCCGTTTGTAGGAGATAGTACGTATCCTCCACGATAGCATCCTTCCCGTTAGACAAATAGTCCTAGTGCGCTTTGCCATAATCAACAGAACCGAAAATAGTTCTGCAGTTAACGAAACAGAATTATAGCATAATAGGTATAATCGGTGATTCTCCGTTAGGAAACAGCAAGAAAGATTAACAGACATTACACTGTCATGTTTTGCTACTCATTACTAAGAAATCAATCGATAGCAGTATTGCTAACTTATCGAATTTGTTACTAGACCTAACATTTTTTGAGTTAAAGTTTATCCTCAAGAGTTTTACCATAGAGAACTGCTGCCCAGAAGCTTGTGATCTCCATTTGGTAGAGTTTTTGTAATAGGATGCAGTCAGTCTTGTTATCCTTCAAAAGTTAAATTCCCGTTAAGATTCATTTTTGCTTGTACTGAAAAGCGAATTATCATTTTTCCATTTTTTGCTTATGCTGAAAACCGAAACATTAAGTTATGACATTCTTAAAGTCGAAGGCGTTACATGGGCTTAAATTTGAAAACCGAATTTCAATTAAAAAGAGAAAAAAGTTCGACAAAAGAACTAAAAAGAAGAAAAGATTAGAGATAATTGCAGTCGTCAACTGATGTAATGTCGTACATTGAGTAATTATTCCAGTTGTTTACAATCTTGTCTTTTATTTTGCCTCCTTTCTACAGTTGTTTTAATAATATGGTTAATAGCACTACTTTGCATTTAATAAAGTACGAGCAATACATTATTTCGCGGTGAATGGGTTTGACAAGTGATAAACTAAAAATATTTACCATTACGAAATTATACATCCATGACATCATATCCTGTAAAATGCAACTTGTAGTAGATGTTGAAATGAGGTTTAAAAAGGGGAATATGTTTTTCTTTTCTTTTGGTTGTTTTGTTGAAGTAAGCTGCTTAAATGCTTTTGAATATAAAGTTAAGGTTTACTTGCCTTATAATAAAAAAATAAAGCTTTTTTGTGAAAACCTTCGTTACCCAGAAGCAGTAGTTACCCATAATTTATGTAGCACAAATTTTCTACCTTTCCAAGATCTGAAAAACAAAAAAAACTAGATAAAAATAAAAATTTTAAGAAATCTGAATGGCTTCAGATTTTAAAGGTCGCCCAAAAGGGCTTGTAAAGGTTTCTCACGCTCTCGCTGAGCTCACAGTCTACAAGTCCGCTCTATTACACTCACTTCTACTAATCCATATTTTTTTGCTATTTTAGCTTTATTATTAAGTATAATTTTCTTTGCACTTAAGCCATATACATTTTAACACCAAAATTCAACTTTTTTTTTGCCTTTTTATTATTAACGTTCTGTGTATTTACTTTATTTATTAAATATCACGTTTTTGGTGCTTACGATACATAAAATTAGATTCAACAGCAAAATCACAAAACGTTTAAAAACAGAATATCTTTAGAATTTTCGACAGACAGTCTTGCCGCGCTGAAGACAATTTATTTTTTCGGATAGTGTTGCCACTGCTAGCTTTTAATACGTTTAGTTTGCTACTAAATTTGTTAAAGTTTTAAAAAATATAAAACAGATAATAAAACAAACTTGAAACTCAAAATTCCTGTTTCCATGTTCGGTTGGAGAACTATGTTATTCAAATTTTGATGGCTCTAGGTACCGTTGTTTTCTGGCAATGTGAGAAACCTACATACATTCGTGGAGATTTTTTATTACTCAATTTCCTTAAATATAATACAGAGCGATAATATTTGGAGGCAAAAATATGAAAACTGATACGCCTTTTATAGTGATTCACCGCAAAATGCCGTTCCGAAATATACTAATATCCCATTTAGGACGAACAAATAATACGCATAGCGTAGTTTCAAAAATCTGGAAGATATTGAGAGCATCAAAAGGCTTATACGTTATACTTGTAAAGTACGATACTTTATCCTTATAAAGTACTTATAAAGTACAATGATAGATTATCTTATAGTCGTCGGAGATCGGTAGCGGGAGATCATGGAAGTTTTTTTTTTTTTTTTTTTTTTTTTTTTTTTTTGTTTTCGAACTGCAGGCGTTAAGGCGTTTGCTTTTTTTTTTCAGTATTGGCCATTCCTACAGCCGGAAGTGGTGGCAATTTTCTTGTGGAGGCACCTAATAGGCGGCAGTCCCTTATTAAGCGATTTCCCATTGATATTCAAAATTAAACTTCGAAATAGTTTTATGTATTCTAGTTATTTTTACCATAAGCTGCGTTAATAAAATCTTATAGTCTTATAGTTTTTATTTATTTATTTTTATTCTTGGTTGTACAGAGTTCTTATTATTTTTCATGTTAATAATATACTTAAAATTTTGTGCTTAAAATTAATTTAAAATAGTTGCTTTTGAATAAGCTGTTAGAAAACTTTAGGAAATATTAGATAAAAGAAATCTGTTTTGTACTTGCCTGTTTTAAATAATTTGCTTTCTAATCTTTATTCCTTTCTAATTTTAGATTAGCGATGAGCTTTCATTTGAATCCATCAGGAGGAGAATACTGCAACCCCGTTGTCCTTTAGAAATACTTTCCTGAAACACTTTGCTGTTGTTGTATCTTTGTAATTTAACTTTGCTCGCATTTGAATTTTTATATTTATTAAGTCTACTTATGTACTCATTTTATGTTTTATTTAAATAAATTGTACATGATTTTACGAAGTTAGTTTTTGCAATTATTCCCATTCTTATACATTTCGAGCTTCATTCGCGTCCCACAATGTAATACTGAATACCTTCACCTTGATGTAGGTTAGATTCCTCAAGTAATCATTACAAATTTAGTATGTGCTCTTTTTGTTTGCGCATAATATTTTGATTTCATTTATTTAGGAAAATGAAATTCATATGAATCATTTATGTTTCTATTAGTTAACTTTAATTTCCTTGTCAGTGAAAAAACTACTTTAATGAAGCTATAAGGTGAAACTTCTTTATTTAATATTTTAATCTTTATTTACTACTCGTTTAACCTTCCGGTGCTACAGACGACCTTTGTTCTCGCATTTTCATCTGAATCGAAGGTAATTTATTTTAATAGATCTGAAAGTTTCAGAAAACTAGATGCTTAAAAATATTTCAAAACATAAGTTCTGTGTAGGAATTAAGCAACTGCATGACCATGTTAATCATTCTATAGACTTACAAGTATTATACAGGATAGTAGTATTATGCAGGATAAAAAAACTTCTCCAATAAATAAATCCCTACCGGTCTATCCTCTCAACTAATCGAACTGAAATTTCAGATATTGTTATATGATGGTATATACTCGAGACTGTGAGGATTTAAAACAATTTAGTTGGCACCGTTACGGTTACAGGGAAAACATTCGAAGCAATCGAATGCATTCCCACTTTTTCCTGCCCAGATTGATCAGCTCATTTAAAAACCAGAAATGGCGTTGAAACGATAATACGTATGACGAAAATTGCCGGCATAAAATATTTGCAAAGAAGAGCACTGTAAAGGACATATGACAACACAAGAAAGGAGACGAACTGACTCACTTTGCATAATTCATAGGGATATACAGTAGAAGCATAAATAAAAAAACACCATATGCATAGCTTTGCTTGCTGAAAACCTTTAACCCCTTCGCGACGGCATGTTGCTGAACTGACAACATTCTACAGACGGGCCTGTCATATACGCATCAGTCCCAAATGTCACTAGCAGCCAGGTGATGCGCTAGTGCATCGCCGCTTGCATTCATCTTCCAGACGGGTGCGTCATATATAGACTTTCAAACACACACGTCCTTTTAGAATTTTTTTTAATCGCTAGATGGCGCTGTGTGTGCATTACAGTTATATTTTTGACCTTGTGTCCGTGAAGTAATTCTGATTCATTCATTACTCTTATCGCCGAGATATTGCATTTAAGATACAGCGTGTCCGGCTCAGTAATATTAAGTCCAAAGGGCCCATGGCGATGTAATTCTGATTCTGGTGATTCATTTAGATGTACGAGCAGATGATATAAAGTAAACAAAACGCAGATGACGCTTCACGTGATGGGAACATAGAACCAGGCCCGGGCTGACAATAGGTGCAACGTCATGCGGCGCATGACGTGCAATCATTAAAACAAGCAGTTCGTATCCCTGCCTGTCTGAACAGAAAAATTCTTGTTTTACTTGAACGCCCCTCCGGGGGTCGACTCAGGTAAAACCTGGGAAGCTACTTATTAGGATCTGTACCTAGGCAGTCTCGGCCACGGGTGTTGAAAATCAGTCTTCCCAGGACTGCAGTCATCGCTAGTGATGGCTGTTTCAAGCTCGGCAGGGACTATATGGCGTTCTCTTCCGGTTGTGGTTGAACTATATAGTCAGATATTCATGGTTGCCGGGGCGAAACACCCCCGTCAGTGGAGTTATCAAATTCAGCGAGCCTTTAATCTGCTTGAGGTTTTCATTGGGCACCTGGAGCCTCAAAACTGCTTATTCATATCCTTCCATGGTTTCCCCCTGAGGGCGCCTAAAGCCGAGATCTGCATACCATGACGTAGTGCTAGCAGGCCGGATTGGTGGCCCGGCCTGTCTGACAGTGTTTGAGTGACTTCGTTCTGCTGTCCAGCGCTGGGGTCCTTGTTGATGGCAGATGTTTTTATCATCCCTTCAGAACGGGGACGTGGAATGTGAGCTGCTAAGTTTTCCTGCCGACTCAGCTCGTCGGCTCGACCGATAGGTTAGCGGCCTCTTGGATCGTCTCTGGGGGTTGGAGCGTTTAAACTGTGTTAAGGCAGCCTCGAGCTGGCCAGGTCTGAAAGCTCCTTCCTGCTAGCATACTGTCTTATTTTTCCTGAAAGTTATAACCAGGGCAGGAGTTCGTCTTTGGTATTCTCTTCTGTCCTATTTGAACGTGAAAATACGTGATGCCGATGTGTATATTAGGGTAGACGCATTCGACAAATTTCTGTGTCTACTGTTCCAATAGTATTAATTTGTGCAACATTTATCGTTTCTGTGATTGCTTGTTGTTATTGTTTTTCTACATAAAAAAATTACTATGTTAAACTTAGGTAAACTTTTTAATTCGGAAAAGCAACAATCTGAGCATAATTACTCGAACACTGTTTACCTCTCATGTTTGAACAATTGTCATATTCTTGGCCACCTAAAATACTAATATCTAAACCATTTTCCTCTAAAGTCTTTAATAAAAATACTGTTTGTTATTCACCTGTCGTATCTCTTGAAACACAAAATACTAAATATCTTTCTTCAATACTCATGTCTGTATTTTCTAAATTAAGATACTTAATACAAATTAATAATTGCTCTTGATGGTTGGCATCAAGGGTACAATCAAGTAAAATCATAAACTACTTTGCCTGTTTGACCTTACTTAAAATAATTTGCTTTATATTATCTCCTAATAAGCTAATTGTTTCATTTTGAATTTTATCTTCAAGGTAATGAAGCATATTTTTTTTTAGTTTGAATTTTATTGATATATACAGACATGATAGGGTCAAATTTTGTGAACATTTCTATACACATTAAAAAATTATGATTTCTTTCGAATAACTTGTTACTGGAACCACGGAAGGCTAAGATTTGTTTCACTGAAAACTGAATGGTATAGATAATTCTTTCGATAACATCGCGCCAATGCTTAGTCTCTTTTTTTTTTTTAATAAATTTTGAAATTCCGAATGAACTGGTTTATTCTTTCGTAATCGTTTTAAGAAATCGGATCAAAGATGTAGATTCCAGAAATGCATTTTATTTGTTTCATGAATTTTTAAGTGCTCAGCAACTTGAGCACCTTACAGGTGACGGCGCGCTTTAGCTCAGTTCCGCCCCACATTTTGATGGAGAACACTCCGGGGGTAACGGGTCCAAGTGTCTCCCACCCTCTTTCCCTTTCGATAAGACTTTCGCCTAGCATATTTAGAGTACCCCATGTCTCATGGACACTATACATTTACAAACATCCATGCCTTCTCCTTCATCCGAACCTGAGCCCTTAAGTACCGCAATCAGCAACACTAACCGCTATACCGATTGGACGGCTTTTTATAACATAAATGTATATATAATTCTTCAATAACTATATTTGAGTGTGGGTCTTATCAAAGCACAAAATGTTTGCAAATTTTCGTTCCATGAATTTCCGTTCCAGCCCATGGGTGACTATTCTAATATCGCAGACTATAGATTTAAGTGAGAATAGCAATTTTTGAAACCGAAATTTTGTCAGAGAATGAGTTGGAAGTTTGTTTTGCTTTCACCTCACACTCCAGGAGAACAATGGCTACTCCATTACGAACTCGATCTATTAAGCAATTGAAGCCTTACGAATTTACGGGAATTGCAGATGTAAATTTATTTCAAAGTTATATGAATTAAATTGATTTTTCACCATTTGTTTCGATAATCTAAAGAACATAATAATTGAAGAAACTAATAATTTCTATGAGCAAAAGCTGAGTGAAAATCCGTCTTCATCCAATATCAACATACTTCTGTAGATGTGCCTAAAATGAAGGGATTCCTAGGATTAATTATTCTGCTGAGAATAATTAAACGTTCGACCCAAAAATGTGTTTCATAACTAATGAAATGAGAGCGACTAGATTATCACATAGTGTCTCTCTTCTGAATCGTTTATGCTGTAATATTTAATCATATATTTTATTATTTTTTACGTATATTTTGATATATAATTGAGTAAGTTTTTTATAATATTTTATCAAGATGAGGTCAAATATTTTACTTTTCATTTAGATTGTAATTAAATTTTTTTCAGAAACTCCTGATATTCTATACTCATGATTACATTATTGTTAGATACCACTACAGAAAAAATCAAAACTATTGATAAAAAACATTTTTAACCCAAAGGGCGTTAGCCCAGAGGGGCTATAAATTTCGCTCTGGCATTTTGCGTCGAAAACATTAAATGTCCGTTTCACGTTTCAATTTGTTGCCCCCAAATATTATCGCCCTGTATTATATTTAAAGAAATTAAATAATGAAGAATCTGCATAAATGTATGTATGTTTCTTGCATTGTGATAAAGCAACGGCACCTAGAGATATCGAACTTCGAATAACGCAATCCTTTCCCGAATATGGGCATCTGGAAGCCCTAATTTGGATTTTGTTTTATTATCAATTTCATATTTTGTACCACTTTACCTAATTTTTGATTAAGAAACTCAAACGATTTCAACGCGAGCAATGGCAACACTGGACGAAACTCCGGCGTGCGAAACTGTATATCGGAAATCCTAAAGCTATGCGGATTTAAAAATTATTTTGTGATATTGCTGTTGAATTGAGTTTTATGGTTTAAGTGCGAAGAACATGATATTTGATAAATAAAGATAACGCGCAAAACGTTTAAAAGACACCCCTTTAGTCGTAGTGTAAAATATGATAGCTTTTAGATTGTTTTAAATATATATATATATATTTACGCGAAATACCCCGGTCTTAGGAGATCGTAGTACTTCAACACACCGTCTCCAAGGTGAGTTTCGCTAAGCGGCATGTAGTTGTTTAAGAGTATTAAGTTATAAGGTATTTCTCCCGTCTTCTTAGTATGCCTTCGTGGTGTAGTGATCAACACACTCGGCTCGTATTCCAGAGATCCGTGGTTCGA